CAGTCATTTCTATTTGAACATTTGATTCTGGGCATAAGAAGGTGCAAAAGTGGGGTTGCCAAGATGTGTGACCTCACCAAGGAGGAGGATCAAGATCAACCACCCAAGCCTGATTCCTAGAAGGCACGGGTCAGAAACACCTCCACCCTTCAAACTGACACCAACTCTGGCACCAATTGTCCCTGCCACAGCACTCTTTACTTTTCTGCTGGATTCAATCTTTTGTTGCAACATCCACACGAACTCAAAGTGCTCGTGACGATGGGTATAAGAGAGTAAGCGGTTACAATTCAGGTTTATGAGTGCTCAGGATACAGTTCCTTAATCAAGATGTCCTCTTCTCGGCCCTGCCCACAAGTAGGCATCTCTGAGGCGCTTGCCCCCTCAGCCAGGCCTCTGTTCTGCTTGGGATAGTGTTACAAAGCCCCTTTAACTCTGCCAGTAAGTATCCAGGGACACCCCAGTCTGCCAGGAAGCCTTGGGCTAAAGATGCTCAGCTCTAGTCTAATTGGTAAACCTACCTCCCCCAACACGTGGCCCATTGCCCCAGCAAAGCTCTTTGCTGAAGGCACTCGGCTTTCTTGCTCCGCGGCCTGGGAAGCACAGCTCTCTGTGTGGTGCTGGTCTCGGCTCTCCTGGTACTGTTTCACTGGCACTGGTTCTCTCCATCTCCAGAGTCTCAACGCTGGGTCTTCTGGATCAAGGACCTCCCAGTACTCTTAGCTCTCCTTTCGCATGTTTGTAAAAGCTCCTTTTCTGCCTCTAGGATAGCTCATTTCAAGCCTAGGAGGTGGCAGAACTGACCAGTGGCCTCACCAGGGTTTCGTGTTCCTTACTGACTTTATTGATAAGCTTTCCAAGCTCCGTGGTGGGCCATGAGCATATCACATTTACATAATTCTACCCACTCATTGGGGAGAAAATGGGCTTTCTACTCCTGTGAAGGGGCAGTTGTGCCTTGTCCTATAGGGTTGCTGGGTCGGCAACGACACTATGGTAGTGAATGAGTGTGGGTGAGTGAGTGAGTGAGTGTCCCCTTCGTTTGGTGGGAGTAACAAAGACTGCGGCTTCATTTAGTTGATTCTGACTCAGTTACCCTGTAGGACACAAAAAAACTGCTCCTGTGGGTTTCAGAGACTGCATCTCTGTGGAAGAAAAAGGGCTCATCTTTCTCCTGTGAGGTGGCTGGTGGTTTCAAAACTATCGACCTTTCAGTTAACATCACAACACAAAACCCATGGTGCCTTCAGGACTCCTTAGACTCTAGCTAAAAGGGTCCTTATAAGTAATTCGATGCACCACTGATGGGATTTGTAGGGAAGGCAATCTCCAAACCGTTTTTAAAAGATTTAAAGCTGTTCTCGCCATTCTGAAACAGTGCAAATCATTCTGAGTCGGCAATAAAACAAAACCTAAATGATTCTGGTTGGTAAACAGTGATACCTTGGTTGTCGAACTCAATTCATTCCAAATTCATGTTTGAACACCAAAAATCCGAGAACTGAACATATTTTTCCCATAAGAAATCATGGAAGACCAGATAATTGGTTCGCAGGCCCCATAAATTACTTTATGCTTATAAATTAATTTTTCCTGGACTTTTAAATCATCGTGGAGGCTCTTAGCCTTCTTGCATATCAGTGTCTAGGAATATGCAATCACTACCAACTTGTTGCTGATTTATCCAAATTAATTGTAACTTTTCAGCCTCTTTGATAGTCTGGGTTCTTTGTTCCATGGTTAACAATTTCACACCTTTTGCTACATTAGCCACTTAAATTACTTCTCGCTCTCTTTTTTTTTCAAATGTTGCTAATGTTAACTTAGAGCCACCAAATCAGACAAGTGTGACCAGACTCAAATTTCTCAATGATTTCTTTCTTTTAGCTCTGTCTTGGTCCTCACAGTTTTCTCTTAGCTCTGCTGCTGATATCACTAACTTCCTTTGGAGTTGTGGTTACAATATTTTACACAAAGCACACACACACACACACACAATGATGAGTTTTTTAAGTCAATTTATTGGAAGCTGTTACAGATATAGCAATCCATAATTCACTTAGATCAAGCATATTTGTACAATTGCTGCCATCATCAGTCTCAAAACATATTCTTTTTTGAACTCTTTGATATCAGTTCCCCTTTT